AATTTCACTTTCGATAACTCGAAATTCATTTTCTTGAAATTGCTTCTTCGTTATTGTCACAGCTGTAGTCTCCCCTAAATTGTTTCTCGTACACCAAGTCATCTTCACTGTGAAAAAGTTTCAGGGACTTTCTTCCTCCAAAAAGCAACAAAAATTAATTCCAATCGAACGAAATTTTTCAACACGATCGTTTTAGAATTACAAATATGTTAAACAATTGCCACTTGTAGATAACTACGTGTCGAATAATTAATTATAAAATTTATAATTAATCGTAAATGGCACTTAAGAAAAAAAAGAAGAAGCAGAATTATCTCCATAATTACTTGCGTCTCGAGGAAAAAGAAAAAAAAAACGAGAAAACTACGATCACAGCTTCATCTACTGAAAATGTTGAGCGAGAGAATTGTCAGTTTTGTCCCTTAATCAACTGACGATTTACTTTGGTCAATATTAATATTTAAACAACGATTAATTCAGAGAGGAAACACGGTAAACACTTTTGATCGTTTCTGCTGTATTATTTATACTCTGGTTATGTTTTATTTATGGCGTTTTCACGTCGCGGCGTTTGTTACGATATTACGCGACGTGTTTTTGATTAATCTCTCTCCCCCGCGAGCACGCGACAGCGCAGATTGCATCAATTAGAATATCGGTAATTATTAATCGTCGCGTTTAAATATTTGCGAAAGCGTAGAACGCAAATCTACAACACGCGCAGCGCAGTCAACGCCAAAACCATCGATCATTGACGATATGAGGCTTGCAAGGAAGAAAAATTGGTAAATTACTGACTGAAAGTTTCAAATTAATTGTTGCAGTTCGAAGTGGAAGTGTACATCTTGGAAATGGTTCTCGATGGAAATAAAGAAACTGCTGTTCACACGTGTGATACTTACTTTTCTATTAATGGCAGAATTTTTGAATGGGAAATCTGTCGATAGATAATCAATAAAGGGAATTATTATTGATATTGACTTCGAATTAATGGTAGAATTTTCCAATGAAAAATCTATGGAAATGAAAGAACATCCTTTTGATATATACTGATTTTGAATTAATAGAATTTTGAATGAAAAATCTATCGAAATGAACGAAATTGATATTGATTTCCGTGGCATTAATTTTATTTTGAATTAATAGTAGCTATTACGGCTTGAAATCTTGAATTAAATGACAGAGTTACAATCTCAAGCTTCGAATTTCACGTGGTGAAAAATTTCACATCTTTCACAAGAATCGTGATCGCAGATTTTTTGAACATACACATTGCAACATTTAACGTTAAAACAATTTTCTACTTAGAGTCAATTTGATTTTATGAAATTCAAGTGAAATTAAATTTCATTCATAAAAATAATTTGCACAAGTATCCACACTCTAAT